GGCCTGGATAGGAAGGCTAAAGTGGGGAGGGAAGCGCAGAGCAGTATGTAGATGTTTAGGCATGACGTCCGTGACAACGAACTCGGGGTCATCCACGGCCGACCCCTGCATCACTAGCGGCTCGGGCGCAGATGGGTTCTCCTCGACGCCCTTCCCCTTCTCAAGGCGTCGGGCCTTCTGAGAGGAGGACTCCTTGACCCTTGTCGGGGCCCGAGACTCCCCGACCCACGGCCCTGTGGCCGAAGGATCGATCACCAGCATCCCCCGAGGAAGGGGGTCGGCGACACGGGGAGAGGGAGTGACCTGAGCAGGCGGTTGCCTCGGCGATCCCGAAACCTCATCCCTGTTCTTCCTTTTCCTCGGCCTCGCCGGGATGGCATACCTCATCTCTGATGGCACGGCTGCGGAAATAAGAAGAGATAAGCTCAAAAACTTCGAGACTATAAGCCTCGACCTCAAACGACAACAAGGGAGAAAAACCGTGACTTACAGCTCAGGAGGTCCGTGGGAGGACCGACAGGACGTCGAGGAGTATCGAGGAGCACGGATAAGCCGTATTCTTCCCGGTTCTTGGCAGTGTTGAGAACCAAAGCACGACGGTTGTCGTCGGGCAGGGCGAGAATCCGCTCGACACGTGCAAGAGCGGAAGCGGGGAGTTGCGGCCAAGGGACGACTTCACCTGCAATATGGAGCAACGCGTTAGTAGGCTCGACGGATGAAGTCGGCGCTATAAAAACATAGTATAAATGGCGGGAGACCTACAGTATTTGCTGAATATGGTTTGCGTCCCCAAAGGACGCTCACCGTCGAGAGGGTGGGAACCAAAGTTGCCCCCAAGGAAAAAGAATTAGGGCTTCCACCCGTGGGCACTGGAGGCCTTCTCGACCACCAGCGGGGGAACTGGAGGTTTGGACTTGGCCAAGGAGGCCAAGTAGAAAAACCCTCTCTGGTCTAGGGAGGTCTTGAGAGAGTAGCAGTACAAAAATTCGTCAACGGTCAAGTCGACCTTTAAGAATTTCCTCCACAGAATAACCATGGAGTTAATTGTCACCCAACATATGGGTGACAGCTGTGCGGGGGATATCCTGTGGATGCTACAGAGGGCCTTCACAAAAGGATGAAAGGGGATAGTTTGCCCAAAGCTGAGAGCCCGGGTGTAAACAGTCATATGGTTGGCAAGGGGGTTGTGGGCCCAGTCGCTGGGGGGCGGGATGATCAAGTAGAAGTACAGGGGGTCGATCCCAGCATCATTGAAGGCCTTTAGGGCGGCCCTGGGCCTAATTTTAGACGGGTTAACGTCCGTGGCCAAACCCGAGAGGCCGCTGGACGACGCAACCCCATACCCTCGGCCTTCAGCAGGGCCGGCCTGCGCACCCGTGTCCTCATCGTCGAGGAGGATCAGCTCGTCTGACCGAGAGGGCGTGGCCGACGCCTCTCGGTAATCCTTCACCTGCCGAAGCAGAGAGTCTACACTTCTGTCTGAGGACGAGCTCGTCGTTGCCACCTCGACCAAATCGTCCCTCACCCTGGATGTGGAGACCTCTCGACCCCTAGCTTATTTGGGCGGCATGCTCTGGAAAACAAACAAAGGGCGGAGTTAGATCCTAATGGTCGAGAGGTCAAGGTGCAACGCAAGGAGGCACAAAGAACGACACACCAGCCAAAGTCCCCAGAGCCCGTGGCTGAGAACTCAAGCCCAGCCTCGGGCATACAACCAGCCACAGCGGCAGAAAACACTTTTTCCCCTGTTTTTCCCTTGTTTTGATACGGGGCCATTGTTCTACATACAGTGGTACCGGGACAATAGCGGAAACAGGGAAGAACGGGAACTTACCAGTTGTTAGAAGATGCGGGCCTGGGAAAAATAGCACAAATGAGCACGAGAAAGCGGAGGCGTTTGGGAGAAATCCGGCAGCGTAACGGTGTTTGAAGAAATGTGCAGCCCCAACGCCCTCACAAAAGGGTTTAAATACGCGCCCGAGGAGTCTAAGGGCCTCCAGATTCTGGCCGTTGAATTCAATTCGTTTCCATCCGACGGCGAATGCGAGAAGGCGCGATCCAACGGTTGGGGAGCAAGCAATGAAGGGGGGTCCAATCGGACGACTGCAGCTCGCCCTCTAGGGCCACGTGGCGCCAGGGAAGTAAGAACGTGTTTGTTGACAAGATCGACGTGACGGTTCCACTGCCCGAGACACCAACCGCAATGATCGCTGTGCTGACCAGCCGCCGCTGCTACCTGCAAAAGGGCTCTTCACTCAAGGCATCCCCGACGCTGAGTATCCAGGAAAGTCGCACCACGACGTCCCAGCCTAGGGGTAATTGTTACACCACAATCGAGGGATCGGTCACGCCCTCGACGTTAGGCGCTGAGGAATCCCCGTCCGGCTCGGCCGCCGGTGTCAGAGGAGTGGTAGCAGCTAAGGTGCCCTCTGCGTCGAGAGACGCCACACGGAGAAAGGCACCGAGGAAGGACGCTCGACCCTCGACATCCACGGCGTCGAGAAATGCAGTCTAATCAATCCCATCGGCTGTCCTGTCAACTCGGGGAAAGAAGCATCAATCCAACGGTCGCTGCAGGAGTCGGTAGATCGTGCGGCAGATAAGGGGGGTCAGCCGCATTTCCTGAGGTTTTTCATTAAAACCCACCTACCCTCTCGATTATCGAGGAAGGGAGATGGCTTCCTCCTTGGGAACGAAGAAGGCTTGGGGATTTTATAATCACCTATAAATAAGGAAAAAAGGACCCAGAAAGGGGTTAGACACCATTTCATTACTAAGAAAATGGAGCTTGTAACCGGCTGAAATATTAGTGCATGCACAAGTGGATTAGGCAAAGAATTATTGCCGAACCACTATAAAATTGTTGTCTCCTTTACATTATTTTTCAGTTTTTATCTTTAATTGAACCGTGAATATTTTTGAGAGAGGTAATTACGAGTTGTCAGAAAAACGCCGTCAACATGTTGTAAAAGAGCTACTTCGGTCAGGCGCAGCAGCCGAACAGTGGCTATATATGTTGAGATTAAGATTAAGATAATACCAATTTCATTCATTGATTAGTGCCTTTGTCATTTTAATATTTCTCGTTGAGTGTGTATCATGTTCTTTTTCTCACAAGTCATCATGATCATATATCATAGCAACATTTATAGGTCTCCTAAAACTGGAATGCATATTCATTCTCCATTCTCAAAAAAAAAAAAAAAAAAAAAAAAAAAAAAGAAAGCATATTCTGTTCCTCCACGGATCCGGGTAGACATGTATTTGGCTTGACATCTTTTAGATTATTTACTCATTACAGGCTTTGGTTCAAAATACCCATAAGCGGAAAAAGGGTAATTCATCATTCATTGAATAAACTATAAAGCACAAGAAAACACAGTTATATCACGTTTAATTTATAAATTCAGAATTATGATTAATAATTTTAATTTTTAAAATTTAAATTTTTTATGAAAAAAAAACATTGTAAAAATTATTAATAATAACCGAAAATAATATTTCTGAACGTCGTTCACCAAATCATGACCTTATGCTTTTTTATTTTCTTGGGTTGCTAAATAATTATTATATCATTTAGTTAAAAGTCTTAAATATTGTTTACTTGATCCGTCATATCTACTATAGTACTAATAAAAAAATATATTATTTTATTTGAAAAAAAATACCCAATTGTTATAGAAAATAAACTATTGAAATTTTAAATATTAAACAAAAGAAAATTTCTATGATAATATTTTTTGTTTCTAACCATCATATTTATATCAAAATTTCTTGATTTGATATAGTTTACTCTTTGACGTGATTTTGAGCAAATGTGACATTCAACACACCGCGAAAAGGTATTCTCCCTACACAGAGAACTCCTAAAATTGCCTGATGCGGATTTTTTTCATTCATTGATCTTTGAGGCGAAGGAAAAAGACAACCGGAAATTCAACTAATTTTGTTTAAAAATTTAACGACGGTGGTTAATGCTGTCGCTTGCCAATAGTGGTACACAAAACAAAACTAAATTCGTTGATGCTTTGTTTTTTTAGTATTCTTTTTTTTATAATTTTTTCCCGAAAAATGTATATAATTGCTTTATGCATTTGTTGAACGCGGAATGATCAAAGTAAAAAATAAAATCATTTCAGTATCTTGTATTATAATAAAATATATTTTTAATAAAATATATTTTTAATGATATTTTAATATTTTTTTAATTTTTTTTAGTATTTTAAAATTAATTTTTAAGACGTAAAATAACTTAAATATCATTTTATTTAATTAATTAAAAACTAATAAATTCAAAAAAAAATTATAAACTTTTTTATTTTGTTATTTTCTTTTAAATATTTTAATATTTTAAATATTTTTAAATTTTTTATAAAAAAGTTAATTTTTATTTAATTAATAAAAAATATAATTTAAACATTATATATCTTAAAAAATCACATTTTAACTATTAAGAAAATGTTTTTGAAAATATCAACGTATCGTTTTAGTATTATAAAAAATAATATGTTTGGTAACAAAATGATTTTATCGTTTAAAATAATGCTAACAATATTCCAAGGCTTAAGCATCCACACGTATGCCCAAACGTCAGCAGTGATTATTGAGCTTTGAAATCGCCACCAGCTGCACGTTGGAAAATGTGGGACCAACGATGCCCTTTCTTCCGCGTTTCCTGCGATCGCTGCGTGCCACCAGCTGCAGTGCCCTCTACCTGTTTGTATAAATACCGCAATTGGGTCTTGATTCATTCGTTCTCAGTTTTCCCTTGCCAAGCACACGATTCGAACTAGGAAGGAAAGAAAGGCCGAGAAAATAGAAACCTGAAACAGGGTGCCCTTGGAAACGACACAAAAGGAGACAAACGACGATCATTATGGGTTCTGCTCAAACTCCCGCTAATATCCCTCTTATGACTCCTTATAAGATGGGAAAGTTCGATCTTTCTCATAGGTATTCTTTCTTCTTGACAATCATTTTGTTTATGTTGTTCGAATTTCATGTTTTGTGTTTCGTGATTCGGTTTTCCTTTGTGGGGTTAATTTGCCATTTCGTTTGTGGGTAAATGTTTCTGCCAAAAATCTACCACCAAATCATGTTTTGCAGATCACAGAACGAAACGATTCCAGCTGTTGAAAAAATTGTCAGCTAAAACGCTTAAAAAAAAAAAAAAAGCAACTGCTCTATTACCTTTAAATGTTAAATGTTGGGCTTCCCCGAACTTGAAAGGTCATAAAGATTCAACAATTGTTATATTTTGAATACTGATTTTGCCACTTGTTTTTAGAAGAAGTTTTCCCACTTCTAGACATATTACTCGGGACAATTCATTTAAAAATTTTGATTTAATAGTTGCAATTTACAATAGATCTAGTTACAAGTTTTGGTCTTTTTTATCATAAGCCCAATACAACAAATGCATAGTACCTGAACTTTCAATACTCAAATACTAATGTTTTCACTAGATTTTAGATGACACCTATGTATGCTAGGATTACGTTTGTATAGGTATGCTTTTTCAAAACACGAGCTCCTAGACCATAAAACCGCCATATAAGGATACTTAAGTGCAGGTCCCAAATCTGTCCAGTTTCAGCTTGATGTTTGTGTTTCATAGATTTGATTTATTAAAGTTTTGGCTTATTATTCTTTGTCAGAGTTGTTTTGGCACCTTTGACTCGGCAGAGATCATACGGCAATGTTCCTCAGCCACACGCCGTTTTGTACTACTCTCAAAGAACCACCAAAGGTGGTCTTTTGATTGCTGAAGCAACTGGAGTATCTGACACTGCCCAAGGGTAACTCTATTGGGGATCAAAGATTTTAGGCTATTCTTTATTTCTTCAATTGAAAAGGTTTTTGTAATGTCTTTCTGTTTTCTATGTGTATATAGGTACCCGGATACCCCTGGTATATGGACAAAAGAGCAAGTTGAAGCCTGGAAACCTATTGTCGATGCTGTTCACGCCAAAGGTGGTATATTTTTCTGTCAGATTTGGCATGTGGGCCGGGTTTCAAATTCAGGTGAGTTCTTGATTTATTTATGCGCCAAGACGTAGATGTGTCAAACCTAAATTATTTGAAATGGAAAAGTTTTATTTCCTAGGGAAAGATTTGGTTGAAATGTAGGCTGGCCTATGTTATGCCTTTGAATAGTTGTTACGCATAGTGTGACAAGGTTTTGAAGTCTAGAGTTGAAATCCCCCAACGGCGAATCCCCATTTTTTTTTTTCTTTTTAAAAGGATGTTACTTGTAGTATGACATGGTTTTGAAATTTGAATCCACTGATATTGTTTATTTTGGTACCAAGTACGAATAGTGGAGATAGGACAGTAACATGTAAAATTCATCCTTGTAGAATATGAGTGAGATGGATGCTTTTACTTAAGCCTAGAACCTATCTTTATCTCTTAAATATTACTCAAGTGCAGAATCTATTTTGTGACACTGGTTTTCTTATTTTTCAAGTCAAACACGGCGTGGTATTCGTGATTGCCATAGCATTGTGCATTGAAACTGTTTGATTTAGGCATTTATTTTATCTTATTTGTACGTACAGGTTACCAGCCAAATGGCCAAGCTCCAATATCTTCTACAGACAAGCCATTGACTCCCCAAATTCGAGCTAATGGTGTCGATGTTGCTCAATTCACACCTCCAAGGCGGCTAAGAACCAATGAAATTCCTCAAATTGTCAATGATTTTAGACTTGCTGCGAGGAATGCCATAGACGCTGGTAGGTTCTCTTTCTAATAAAACGTAGAAAAGTTGGAAGTAAGAAGTGTTCCAACATCTAAACTATATGAAGCACTGAAGAGTTTGAGTAAATGCTTTCTAGTAGGATTATAACTTCTGCTAAAGGATTTTGCGTATTACTTTTATCTTTAAAATGCTTGAAAGTGTGAAGGCATGGTAACTTTAGTTTTTAGAAATTTTGTCTAAGAATTTGTACTAACAAAAGTAGCCCATTGTGAAGAACTTTGTCCTGTTTTGAGAAATTACAAGTCCAATAGCTAGTCAACACACCCTTTTGCATTAAGGACGCCGTTGTTTTCAACTTTTCAATTTGATCATATCCTCTAATATTTGTCTCCTGCATATAGGATTTGATGGAATTGAGATCCATGGGGCTCATGGCTACCTCATTGAACAATTTCTGAAAGATCAAGTGAATGATCGAACTGACAAATACGGTGGATCCTTAGAGAACCGCTGTCGTTTCGCTCTTGAGATCGTTGAAGCTATTACTAATGAGATAGGGGTAGATAGAGTTGGAATAAGATTATCTCCATTTGCTAGCTACATGGAATCAGGGGATTCTAACCCTGAAGCTTTGGGGCTTTATTTGGCAGAATCCTTGAACAAGTTTGGAATTTTGTACTGCCACATGGTTGAGCCAAGAATGAAGACGGTTGGAGAGGCACATGAGACCCCTCACAGTCTTGTCCCCATGAGAAAGGCTTTCAAGGGTACCTTCATTGTTGCCGGGGGGTATGACAGGGAGGATGGGAACAAAGCTGTAGCTGAAAACCGCACAGACCTTGTTGCTTATGGTCGTCATTTCTTGGCTAATCCGGATTTGCCAAAGAGATTCGAGCTCAATGCTCCTCTAAATAAGTACAACAGAGAGACATTTTACATATCTGATCCTCATATTGGTTACACTGATTATTCATTTCTTGAGACCACTGTTTAATTTCATATACTCAATTAGAGGTGGGAGAGCTTGAATGATTTATTACTAGCACCCAGAGGTGGTATAGGTACTTGAAGATTTGATAATGTTGCATCATTTATGTAACAGCCATTTTTACTGTAGCTTTTGAATTATAAAATGTATCATCATTATTGTATTGCTACTTCATACTTTTGAACTTGAGCCTAATCATGTCAATCGGTCACAACCTTGCAACATAGAAGAGGGTTGTGGAAGACCCCGACCCTAAATTGTAGCGGATCCTGTCTAGCATGATACTTGTTATGTCATTTTTTTTTATTTTTATTTTTTATTTTTTTTAAAGGAGTCATTATTAAGCACCGAGGAATCATGACAAAGTTTCCCTTTTCACACTCCCATACCAAAGTCCATTTATTGAGTGGTGCCTTTATTATGTCATTTTTCACTTTAGTTGGTATTCGTTACAAGCTTTGATGGAGTTCAGATTAGCAAAAGGAAGGCAATTCCCAACAAAAAAACAAATACGAAAAATGATACCCGTTAAGTAGGGATCATTGTTGCTCCAGCTTGCCGCTTGGCGCATTCTGATCCTTAGATAAACAAAAGGTTACTATTCCATAATTAAACATCAGTACATGATTTCTATGAAAAGTATTAACACATTTGAACTGCTAGGATTTTGCCATTTTTTATTTTATTTATCCTATCATATTATACCTATTACTAAAGGAGGCATCCGGTTACTGTACTAAGTACAGTGCCGGGTCCTTCCTATATTTTTTCTTTGAAAAAATTCCAATTGTGTCCTAAATGTGTGTATTTACCGTTTTATTTTCGGTTGTTGATTTCCGATATGTTTTTGTTTGGGTATTTTTGTCTTTATCAACATATCTAAAATTTCCGGGTGTATTCAAAATATGTGTTTTTTCCATTCTATCCTCGGTTGCTTACTTCTGATTTGGTTTTTATTTAGGTATTTTTGTCTTTATCAATATATATGTATTTCTGTTTTTTTTGTTTTTGGGCACACTGATGAGCTGTCTTGGAAAAGACAGCGTTCAGTGGTGGGCCCTGTGTTTATACGTGTTCAATCAGTGTAATTCGGTGTTATAGGTGTTAAACAATTTGGAAAATGTCATTTGTGTCCTATAAAAGTTGTTTTTATTATTTTGCCCTTAATTTTATTTTGTTCCTGAGTTTATTTGCTGGGCATTTTCGTAATTTGCTGCGTTGGTATTTGTTGACTCTTCTCGTGAAGCTTCCTGCCTCTTTCATTTTCACTCTCGCATCTCACTTTTTCCATTTTATTCTTTCCTGAAGTTTTTCTCTTTCGACCTCGTTCATTTCGATGATTCGAGTTTAGAATTTAAGTTGAGATGTGATTATATGTGAGAACTTTTTACTGTAGCAAAAAAGTTAGATGTGATTGTTTGTGAGAGCTTTTTACTGTAGCAAAACTCGAATTCTAAACTCGAATCAGCGAAACGAACGAGGCCTTCGTTTACTCTCTCTATATTTCCTCTGCGTTTTCTCCTTCGTCTACTCTCTATATTTCCTCCGCGTTTTCTCAATGGTTCCTTCTGGTTTTGGTTTAGATTTTTTAGGGCTTTGTTTTTCGTTAAGTTTTTACGTTTTCTTCTCTGTGAAATTTTTTGTTGTTTTTCCATTTTCTTCTATTTGGGTATTTTAAGCTTTTTAGGGTTTTTTTTTTTTTAAAAAAAAAATTCCTTTGATATTTTTTGGGGTTGTATTTTGATTTGTTATGTTAAATATGAGTTAATCTTATGGTTTATGTTTCGATGGAGTTTCGAGGTTTTATATCTCTGGAACTTTTGAAAAAAAATTTCCTGTCGTTTGGGTATTTACTTTTTAGGGTTATCCTCTTCAATTTTTTTTTCCTTTTTTGGGTTTGGTTACGATTTTTGTGGGGTTCATTTCTGATTTTTTTTCCCTATTTCTTATGTCATAAATGGGTTGAGTTTTTTTGTACGGTTCATATCGGGTTTTTCTGGGTTTTTTATGTGGTAAATGAGTTGAGATTATGAGTTATTTTTTGCTAAAGTTCTTACGTTTTCTTCTATTTGAAATTTGTTTTTGTTTCTTCATTTTTTGCGATCTGGGTATTTTTAGCTTTTTAGGGTTTTTTTTTTTTTTTTGCAAAAAATTTCCTTTGATATTTTTTGGGGCTTTCTTTCGATTTGGTATGTATCTTGGTTTTCTTCTATCTGTAAATTTTTCTAATATTTCCCCGTTGTTTGGGTATTCTTTGATTTTTAGGGATTTCCTCTTCAAATATTTTTTTTTTATTTTTTTGTTTTACTTTTGTTCTTTCTTCCAGTGATTTGTGGATTTATGGTTTTCTTTTTCGAATTAGTTTTTTTGTTTCGGTTTTTGGTTTACTTTTGTTCATTCATTTTTATTTTTCTCATGCATTCTTCTGTTTCGGTTTTCTTTTGTATTATTTTTCTGTGATTTTTTTTTATTTCTAATTTCTCTGATTTTATTTTTTTGTATTTGCTTCTGAAAAGTTTCTCCCTTTTTTAACAGGATTTTAGTGCCTTATTATTGACCACCATTACGACAGCTCCGAACAAATTTTTGACTGTCTACAACCATGGATGCTGTTCACATGCTTTCTTTTGTTGTTTGGCTGCAACAACATCAGCTTGATTCAAGAAGTCATTAGCATCAGATCTGTAGATTTCTCTTTTCTGAAGAATGAAAAAAAATTTAATCTTACAGTTGTGTTTTTATTGTTTTAGAGGATTTAATTCAGTTTGTAATGTTAAAAGTTAATGATTTTATTTCTCATCACTGGAGTTAGTTCTTATGTGTTTTGAAGTATTTTTAGTTCTTCTACGTCAACTCTATCCATTTTCGTTATTGCTCTAAGGTACTTATTTCTTACCTTTTCCACCTCATTTCCATATACTTATCGTTTATTTTTTCTGTTTTCTTCCTTTTCTTCAATTTTCATTAGAGAGTTTCTTTTGTTATCTCTGTTTTGAAGTGTTTTTACTTAACCTGCATCAACTCTATTTACTTTCGTTGTTGCTCTAAGGTATTTATTTCTTACCTCTTCCACCTTATTTCTAAATCTTCATTCTCAATTAAAAATCAATTGGTCCCTGGCGGTGATGATGTTTTTCGTCTTTATTGTTGCCATGTATTGAATAATTGCTAATAGTGATTTAGCAAGTATTGATGTTGCCCGGATTATTGAAGATTTATCCTTATATCATTTCGTTTAAGGTGTTTATGTTTTTTGAAAATAACAAATCTTTTTACTTCTTACTTGCAAATATTTTATTTCTCTTATTCCATTCTGAACCATTTCATCTTTTAACTGATTTTTTTTGTAAGGTTTTTATTCACTGTTATAGTTATTAAATTTTTTTCCTTTATTATTTTGTGTAAGTCTTTCAATAACTCAGCTGGTAGCCAATGATAATGTTGAATCATAATTCAGTTACTTTTGATACATGTTGGTAGCAAAAAAAAAAAAAAAATACCTGCCTGAGAATTGTTGCCATGTATTAAGTAATTGTTAATAGTGATTTACTAATTGTTGATGTTGCCCGGATTATTAAAGATTTATCCTTATATTATTTGGTTTAAGGTGTTTATGTTTTTTTAACAATAACTAATCTTTTTACTTCTTAGTCGCAGGTGTTTTATTTTTTTCATTCCACTTTGAACCATTTCATCCTTTAACCGAAATTTTTCCCTAAGGTTTTTGTTCACTATATTTACTCTGGTGTTTGTTATTTGGTAGGAAGTTATAATCATTTAACTATGATTTAACTTCCGAAGTTTCTTATTTTCGTTTTTTTTTCTTTTGTCCTTCGTTTTTTATTATTTCGTTGTTATTTGATTCAATGTATTCATTTTTCCTGTCCAAGTAAAATTTAAGTTTTCTTTTTGGTTTTTTTAAATTTTTTAAAATTGGTTACACATTTTTTTCCTCTTTAGTTTATTAAATTTTTACTCAATTTTTTTTTTTTTTTGCTTTTCTTTTTGTTCATTTACAATTATTGTAAATTTTTTCTCTGTTATTTAATATAACTATTTCAATAATTCAGCTGGCAGCCAATGATAATGTTAAATTATATTTCAGTTACTTTTGATACATGTTGGTAGCAAAAAAAAAGATGAATACCTGAACCATTCCTTTTATATATTTTAATGTCTCTGTCTTTTTGCTTCTTACTTGCATATGTTTTATTTTTCTTATTCCAGTTTGAACCATTTCATTCTTTAACAGATTTTCTTTCTAAGGTTTTTGTTCATTATTATAGTTATTAATACTTTTTTCCGTTATTTAGTGCAAGTCTTTCAATAATTCAGTTGGTAGCTAATGATAATATTGAATCATATTTTAGTTACTTTTGATACATTAATGCCCGGGGATTATTGCCATGTATTGAACACTTATTTATAGTAATTTAGCATGTGTTGCTCTTCCCCGGATTATTGAAGATTTATCTTTATATTACTTGGTTTAAGGTGTTCATGTTTTTTTAATAGTAACCAATCTTTTTGCTTCTTAGTTGCAGGTGTTTTATCTTTTTTATTCCACTCTGAATTATTTCATCCTTTCGATTTGTTTCCTGAGATTTTTGTTCACTATATTTACTCTGGTGTTTATTATTCAGTTTGTTGAAATTTGTATTTGTTATGGTGGATGTTGTTGATTGTAAATTGTTTATACATAATGTACACCGTTTTTATACAATGTTAAAAAAAAAGATTGTTCATATCAATATCAGATAACAAAACTATATATTTATAGATTTGGGTATATTGGTTTCTTTGTATTATTAAGGAATGTACTCTATTATACATGTTCAGATGAAGATATTGTGATTTAACATATAATAAGGACATTGCACTCTTCTATCAATTTTTTCAAAATTGATTAAATTTGTTTTATTTATTTATTATTATTCTATTTATATATTTTTGTTATATTTTTATCCTCTCTGTTCAATTCAAAATTGTAAATATAATCTTCTTAGTATATATTGATGAAAAGTATATATCTCATGTAATTATTAAAATAGATGCAATGTAAATAATGATTAATTTTGTAATTTTTCCTTTTTACTAAACAATATACGTGTGTTTTTATACATTTTATTTATTTAAATTACTGTTAATTAAACTATTACATACCTGTGC